TCAACGGCGTTGTGGGGTTTTGTATCGATTTCAAGTACGAAGACTACCTACCTGATGTTCCCAAACTTCAAGGAAGATGTCGCGTTTGCGATCATCGTCGAACAGGAGGCGGCGCAGACACTCATCATCATCTTCCGGATCTCGAGGGAGGAAGCACTCAAGAAGGGGGAGATCGAAAACTCCGAGAGATAAAAGACATAAGTCAAGATCACCATCGTCATGGAGAAGAAGGGCGGAGTCAGAATCTCCAAGGTGGTTTTCGAGACCATTGTGGGAGCAAAGACGGAATGATTTCCCCCCACCGGGAAATCGAGCGTGGTTTACGGCGGATCTAAAGGAAGAAATCTTTAAGCTCCGCCGGGAGATAGACAAAGTTATCAATTCACTGGAGCAACTCACACGAAAGACAACTGAAAAGCAGTCAGCTCCTCCGAACAAGGAAGACACTGTAAAGAAGCCTGAGCTAACTCCGGACGCGCTCAAGTCCATCATTGATGAAGCACTAGGCCGGCATAGATGAACCAAGGGGGACAGAATCAAGCTGGTCCAAGCGCAACCGGTCAGAAGAACTTGAATGCTGAGGCGGAAGATAAAGTAGAAAGGATGGTATCGGAAGTGCAGAAGGAGGTCAACAACCTGAAGCTACTAAAGTATGATCTGGCGGTTGTGAAGGGCGCGTTGCAGAAGATTAATGAACCGACTCGTACCTGCACTCCGATCGTGTCGTCCTCGATTCATCCGAACCGATATGTGGGGACAATGGCTGGACTACCAACTTCAGTACATGGTAGCCGCAACATTCCAAGCCGAAGCATGCCAAGCAGAAGCGCACCGAACAAAAGCAGATTGGGACGCGTAATCCCTCCACACCCCAAGAGAGGACGAACGAAGATTAATTGCAACGTGTCGGCAGCGAAGTCGAAGGCAAAACGGAGCATTAATTTCGGGGTCGAACCGATGACGGACATGGAGCTCCTTCGTCTTCACTACACGGACATGAAGGTCTTATGCAAGATGCATGACATCAGGTACAAGGACAAGCCGCAAGCGATCTCGACATTGAGGCAAGTTTCTGGATTGATCCCCTACAAGGGGCGGGACTTCAACCGGGATTCTGATCTTAAAACACAGATCATGCCAGATCCAAATAACATCAGAGTGTCAAATACAAGTGGCGGCTACACAAGTGAGGATGATCATGAGAGCCTTAGTACAAAATCAAGCGGAGTGACGAGTATGACTCATCCGACACATCTTCGAGCGCCGAAGATCTGTCGGGAAGGTAGAAGACACCTCAGCATCAAGCGACCTCACCACGATACAGAAGTGGGAGCAGATACACAGGCTATCAATGAAAATTGAGCAACTAGTTAGTATAGGGAAAATTAATGATTGTCATACATACAATAGAAGGTACAAACTTCTGTTTATCTCACTAGCATTGGACGGACAGATACCATGGGCAAGCCAACTAGTTGATCTCTGGGTAGCACAGACTCATACATTTGATAAGTTAATCTGAGCCTAATCACATCATCATATAGTTTGTATGTTCTCGTTTCACCTTGGTGTAGACATATGTACGTGGCGAGGACAGGAAGGCAGTCTGACAAGAGATGGACTAAACACATAAACTTGGCCAAGAATCCAAATAGAGTAGCACAGCGGAAACTATACAGTTGGCTGCACAAATTTGGTTGGGAGAAATATGTTCTAATACCCATTTGGACGGGAGTGAGATCATAGGTGATTGGGATGGAAATAACACTGATTAGGAGACTGAATCCATTCTTGAATACAAGGGGAAAAGGCAGAAAGACTCGGAAAAACCGAAGACGAAGAAGGAGAAAGAGGAAGAAGAATGAAAACAATGAGGTGAATCAGAATATACCTGTTTTGTTTAAATCGGTTCGATCGGGTTACACTACGAAGTTAACATCAATACTTCAACCGAAAGCAATTATTTACTGCACAACTGAAAAACTATGGAATAAAAAATGGAAAGTAATTAAACGAACATTCGGATCAACAATTGTGGAAATTGACAACACAAAGTTTCAGCTAAAAAAATGCAGAAAATGAATCGAAAATGAATGTATCTTCTATGTGATCCAACTGGTGTAAATGGGACCGAAAACAAACAAACATAGAAATATTCTGATTAAATGCTTGAGGGCACCATGGAGATGGAGGAAACTGTATAAATTATCGTTAGATGATATATTGATGCTTCCGTCAAAGGTGGGATCGATTACCAAAAAGAAACAAAGAGGAACAATTCAAGGCATCTTCACACGAATTTCAAAGAAGAAGTTTGCATTCAATATCAAGAGAAGGATGATATTTAAGATTCCATTTGATGCATGCATTAATCTGAAGCAAGTGAGAAACACAACAACCGAGTCTATCTTGAAAAACGTAAGTAAAAACAATTTGGCAAACAATTTGACAGCTCGGATGCGTGTGACGTTTAAAAAATCAAAGACAATCAGGGAAATATTACACAATCACAGACAGGTGCTTACAAAAGCACCGGACTGTAATTGCGCAGTATCCCGACTTTCAAAAATTGAGAACCACATTGCCAGCAGATTAAGTGAAATCACAGAAAATCAGCTCTTGTGGAATGTAAAAAACGTACCCCATATGAACGAATGAATTGGAAAGGAAAAAATCAAAAGGACAATCATCACTACCATTGCAAGTATACCACGACCACTAAGGAAGAAAAAAAAAATTAAAATAGATGTCTCTACTTGCATCGAAAAGAAGAATGATATGGAGATTTTTCTTCACATATCGCAAGTATGGGAAGTAAAAAGAAGATTGACACAATGTATCCTATCAGCATTGGACAGAAATCCTCGAGAAACTTTTGTGGAATGTCGTAAAATCTTGTACGAGAAGACCCGAAAATTCTTTCTGGAATCGAATCACTACGAAATTATACAACAAACGGAATCTTAGATCACTCAATTGACAAAAAATACGTATCATGGATGTGGGCTGAAGAAAATCGCAGAATGGGATGAACAAGGATCATACGGAAACGCGTATACAATTCCAAAAAACAAGGACGTCACCAGACGCCGACCAATTGTGTCGACATATAAGAAGTCATCTCGGAAAGCATTGAAGGTACTATCAAGAGCTATCAACTTCATGTGTGAAGCATTGAAAGTTGGTTTCTCACTAAAAGGAACGAGCCAACTACTACATAGACTTAAGAAATGCAATCAAGTAGTAAAAAAAACATACAGGGATATGGCTACGATAATCTGCTCCATATACGACGTCAAAGATATGTTTTCGAATCTCAATCACACACATATCTTAAACGTCATGCAATGGATGATGAAAACGGCGAAAGAAAAACGGAAAACCCACTTGTGTTACAAGATGAGAGGAAAGTACATGAACTTTGAAAAATCAAACGGAACCTATGCATGGAAAACATTAAAAATTGAGTGTCTAATGGATTTGTTGTACTATGACATCAAACACACATACTTCAAACTTCAAAGTACAAGGAACATTATTACGCCAAGTAATGGAGATACCAATGGGGAAGGGCTCTAGCCCACCCATTGCCAACATGGTATGCGCGTTCGACGAGTACAGATGGTGTGCGCAGACTGGAATTTATGAGAAAATTATCCACGGTATAAGTTTTGTGGACGATGTAATGATGATCATAATAGCAAGTAAGGAATATCAAACGAAAGAGTTGGAATGTCTGAAATCTTTTCAAACATGCTACCACCAATCTCTAAAACTTGAAATCACATCAGACAACGCGAACACAGAATGAACCTATCTGGAAACAAGGGACGAAATCAATCAACGAACAGAATCATAAGATATGATGAAAGTAGCTCCAGATTGAAGGCATGTTAGAAATCGACGACGACAAGGACAACACAGAGAGCGACTGCGGGAGATCCTGAGGATAGATGATAAGCACACTGCAATGATAGGAAAAGTGGCGGAGAAGGAATGGGAACGAAGGGTATAAATACTGAGGATAGTGACTGAAATGATTACCTGAGCAGTGAGGTAGAAGGGTAATCGCGACTGGTGTCGCATGCCATGGACATTACGTGTATGTTGTGAAAGTAAAACCTCGCACGTTCTGTCGACATCTGCATGTGTTTATCTTTCTCTCTCTCTCTCTCTCTCTCTCTCTCTCTCTCTCTCTTATC